TAGTACTTTGATCGATTGCAAAACACATAAGATCATTTACAATTTTCTTCTTAGAACAAAAAATTGTCAAAAAGTACAATGATCTACTGTTTCACTCTATGATTGATCACAATCTTTCATGTCAACATATCCGAAGCTTTTTTTTTCGTGGGAGACTAATATAACCTTGCAATAGATCTTAAGCTTTTGGAATAGATCGCAAACCTTTTGGAGATAAATAATAATAATAATTTCATCATATTCTAAATAATACTAGCAATACAAACAGGTCGAATTTATTTAATTAATATTTTATGTTGCCAAATTAACACCGAAGTAAATTCAATTTTATCAATTTCAAATATAATTTAATCAAATTAACACCAAAATTACCATCAATTTTTCCAAACTTTATCAAATTAACATAAAAATTCTTGAGATTAATACTCAATTTTATCTAATTGAGATTCAATTCATCAAATCAATACGAAATTAATATTCAATTTCATTAATTAAAAATTCAATTTCATCAAACTAACACCAAATTTACCTCAATTTTATTTATTAAAATAATAATTTCTCCATATTCCACATAGTGTGGTTCCCACAATTGTGGTAAATTTAATATTGATGCTAATAGGATGAATTTGAATAAGAATTGGATAAATTCAATGTTAATTTAATGAATTGAATATTAATTGGGTGAAATTGAATGATAATTTTGATATTAATTTGATGAATTTGATGTTACTTAGTTGAATTTGAATATTAATTAGAGTAAAATTTCCTGTTAATTTTATGTTATTGACAAATTGAATGAAATTAAATATTAATTTGAAAATTGAATGTAAATTTGGTGTTACTTTAATGAAATAAATATTGATTTGCATGAAATTAAATGTTAATATTGATATTAATTTGATGAATTCAATGTAAACTATTTGAATTTTAAGGTTAATTTGATAAATTGAATGTTAATTTTGTGTTAATATGGTGTATTGAATGTTAACTGAATGAAATTGAAAAATAATTTGAAGAATTTGAATGTTATTTTATTTTTGGTTTGATAAATTAAATGTTAATTGGATGAACTAAATGCTAATTGGATTAATTTAGACGTTAATTTGGTGTCAATTTGATGAATTGAATGTTAATTAGATAAAATTCAATATTAATTTGATGTATTGGATAATTTTTTATGTTAATTTGATGAGTTGATTGTTAATTAGAGGAGTTTGAATATAAGTTGAATGAATTGAATGTTAATTTAATGAATATAATATTAATTGGATGAAACTAAATATTAATTTGAATATCAATTTGAATGTTAATTTGAATGTTAATTTGTTGAATTGAATGTGAATTGAATAAAATTCGATATTAATTGGAAGAATTGAATGTCCATTAGATAAATTTTGATGTTAATTTGATGTCAATTTGATGAATGGAATATTAATTAGATAACTCGTCCAAACCATCGTCTTTTTTTTGTTTCCTTTTCTTCTTACTTCTTAGCATTATTGAGTTTTCTTAATAGTTCCTTGGACGTAGCCATAAAAGATTCATAATCTATAATTGGCTTTAAAACATCCTCCTCTCCATCACAGAAAAAGCCTCTTGTGTTTTTATGAACAATAGGTTCTTTGACATAGTCATCCTTAGAGAAAGTGTCATTTAATTTCAATGGTCGATGAATCTCTTCCCTAAACATTGTTGGGATGAACTTTTCTTGACTGTGGACACGCTGGTGAACTGCCTCCACCATCTGCTTCATAACAAGGATTGACTTGTACAAAGAATCATAATCATGCTTATTTAGAACACATGGATCATAAACAATAGGAACCTCTTCCAAAGAATCTTCAATACCATACTTAGGATCATCATTTGAACTGGAAATCTCACCATCCTCATGATTCACATTAATCAAAATGAAAGGGACTGTTCTTGTAGTCGTGTTAGGCGGCACCATTCTAGCATCAAGAATTAAAGAACCCATGTGGTTTGGAGAAGAAGGAATAGCATCCTTGTAAGACTCATGTGACATTGTTGCTAAAATTGCAGCCTCTTTTTCTGCTACATGAACTGTAGCTTGAGCAGCTGCATCATTTATTATACCTTCATACTCATTTGCATTTACATTCTCTGCATCCGTTGGAACCATGGTTTCTGGAGCAGCAGGCTCTTCATTTAACATTAAAATTGAGTTTATTAAATTAATATTAAAATCCATAAATTTAACATTCAATTTCATCCAATTGAGATCCAATTCATTAAATCAACACTTAATTAACATTTAATTTTATCAATTCAAAAATCAATTTTATCAAAATAACACTAAATTGACCGTCAATTTTATAAAATTAATATTACTTTTATCAAACTAGACAAAATTTTCAACCTTGATACACTCAACCAGGAGGTCAGGGTTTCAATTCTTATTGAATTGAATTGAATTGAATATTTATTGGAAGATTTTCGATGTTAATTTAAGGAATGTTAGTTAGATGAATTTGAATATTAATTGGATGAATTAAACGTTAATTTGATTAAATTGAATATTGAATTGATATATTTTAATGTTAATTGGATGAGATCAATATTAATTTGAATGTTAATTTGATAAATTGAATTTACTGTTGATTTGATGAATTTAATGTTTATTGGATGCTATTGGATGTTAATTTGAAAAAATTGAATATTAGTTTGATACGTTGAGTGCTACATGGATGACATTGAATATTAATTTTATAAATTGAATGTTAATGGAATGAATTTAGATGTTAATTTGATGTCAATTTGATTAATTGTTTTTTAATTAAATGACATTGCATGGTACTTTGCAGTTGATTTGATGAATTTAATATTTATTTGATGATTTAGATGTTAATTTGATCAATTGAATGTTAATTGTATGAATTGAATATAATTGGATCAATTAAATGTTAAATTAGAGTTAATTTGATGAATTGAATATTAATGGGATTAAATTGAATGTTAATTTGGATGTTGATTTGATGAAGTTAATGATAACTAGTTAAATTTGAATGTTAATTTTATATTAATTTGATGAATTGAATATTAGTTAAATGTTAATTTGATGAATGTGAGTGACAATTAATTATGAAATTGATAAATTGAATGCTAATTGCATTAATTTTTGTGTTAATTTGATGTCAATTTGATAAATTGAATCTTAATTTGATGAAATGACATGTTAATTTGAAGAATTGAATGTTTATTAGATAATTTTGGAGTGTTGTTTAATGAATTGAGTGTCAATGGTATGAATTTGCATACAAATTCAATGAATTAAATGTCAATTTCATGAATAAAATATTAATCGGGTGAATTTGAATAGAATTTGAGTATTAATTTGATGAATTTTAATGATAGTTGGATGAATTTAAAGTTAATTTGGTGTTTTTCGGGTAATTTTACTACCGTTTGGGGTAATGTTACCACTGTTAGATACGATATTGTAACTTTCAAGGTAATATTACGATAATTTTGAATGACTTTATTAGTATTTACAGTGAATTTATCACCATATAAAGTATGAATATCATAGTTGATGTACATTTTTAGCTTTAAGTTTGTAATTTTTCTCACATATATCATAACTCTAACCAATATAGTAGCAAGTTTGGCCTACAGTCTTGTAACTTTGTCCACTATTGTTGTAACTTAATTCTAAACTATAATGAATGTGTCTTTAATTATTGTAATTTTACCAAAATTGCTGTAAATTCGTCAACAGTAATTGGAACTTAACCTATTTCTGTCGTAACATTTAAATGTGGTAATTTTATTCCAAGTATTGGTAACTTTACTCTAACTATAGTATTGAGATCAAATTTAGAGGTCAAATGATATGACAATATATTATTTGAAGTCTTTATTGGAGCCCAAATGACATGACACCAAATAAAGAAACTCAAGTCAGCTGCCATGTCATTTGAGTTTCAAATTTAATCACAAAATTTGATTAGTCTAGTATATCTAGTAAAATTAATATGAGCTTGAGATTCCTAAAGTGATGCTAATTAGTACAACCATTATTTAAAGTGATTTGAGAAAAATGGGAAAAAGAAAGAAGAAAAGCAAGAAAAAGACAAGAAATATAATTAAGCTTTTATCAGGAGTGAACAAAACGTGAAGGAAAAAACCCCTCACCCACCCGCTCACCTACTTCTCTAAGAAGATGAACGAACATAGTCAATGTCATGCTTTATAGTAGAATCTAGATTTCTTCGTATGTGGAGAGGCCTATTATTTTTACTAGACTGTAATTGATCTTGACAATAATAAATTGTAAAATGATAAAATAAATAGACTTTTCAAGATAATGATACTTGTACTGAAAATTTATTTTTCGATAGCAGATTTACTGATTTACTAATGGACTTTCTTCTTCTACTATAGAGAGATGCCCCAGGACCCATGGCCTTTCTTCTTCTACTATAGAGAGATGCCCAGACCCCATGGCCTTTATTATTGACATGTACCTTTAGATTTATTCACATTGAAATATTNCAGATTTAGTAATGGACTTTGTTCTTCTACTATAGAGAGATGCCCCAGACCCCATGGCCTTTATTATTGACATGTGCCTTTAGATTTATTCACATTGAAAGATTTGAGATTGAAGGTACGATTGATGAAATGAATTTGGTTAATTTTGCTTCATTTCATATCTATTCAGGATTCAGAAGTGGCCCAACTGAAATCTATTCAATTTTACATCAAACATCGAGGGTGACTTACAATATTGTTATTTTAAGACAAAAAACTATAAAATTAGACTTAACTAGAAGAGTGGTGTCATAGCATGTCTCTTTTAAAAAAGGTGAATATTTATGTCGATCTTTGTTAGATTATCCACACATTAGTCATACGTAAAATGATTATTAAACAGATGACAGTTACTAAAAATGTTTCAAAAGTGTCACAAATAAAAGTGTCCTGTCCTACGCTCATTTGCATAGTGAAATGTCGTGAATATTATTTTTGACATATTTTTACAGCTCTGTTATTTCAGGAGAAGAAGTTATAAAATTAGACTTAGGATTGTCACAACACATCTCTTTTAGAAAATGTGAATATTTATGTCGATCTTTGATAGAATCGTATGACTAATAAAAGAGGTGATATATTGAATATAAAAAAAAAGAATAAAAATGTAATGTTAGAGANTATAAATTACAAATACAAATTTTATATTTGTATCTATCTATAAATTACAAATACAATATCGATTTCTATTTCAAAATAATTTTAAAAAATTATATATACGATTAATTTTTATCTTAATTAGAAATGAAAGAGTTAAAAATTTTCGATAAAAAAAAAATACACATATGTAGGTATAATCCTATCTTTGCATATGAGATGAGTAATGTAATCATATCTTTGATTGATGGAGTTTTTGAAAATTTTTTGAACACTTTATTAAAAATATAATGATAAATATTTTTTAAGAGTAATATAGTCAATCAAATTTTTTTATAGAAACTGATATTTATACATAGATAATAGATAATTAAAAGAGATGTGATAAATAATTTAGAAATTTAAATATATAAGAATATGATTGTAATTTAGATATTTAATTGCGAAATGATAGAGTGATTTTTACAATCCTTTATAATGATAAAATAGAGATTCAAAATTTTTCATCTTAAGGTACATTTATTAGTAGGGGTTAACTTTTCGATGACAAAGAAAATACAAATTTGTAGGCATAATGTTATATATGCATATGAGATGAATAATATTAGATTAATGGAGTTTTTGAAGTTTTTTTGAATACTTTATTGAAAATATAATGATGCATATTTTTTGAGGATAATATAGTCAATCAAAAAAAATTATAGAAATTTATATTTATACATATAGAATAAATAATTAAAAGAGATTTTATAGATAATTTAAAGATTTAAATACATAAGAATATAATGATAATTTATTTATTTAATTGTAAAAAGATAGAGATTTAAAAGTTTTCATCTTAAGATACTTTATAAGTAGTATAAATATAAATATA